GCAACCAATAACAATACAGTGGTGGAGACAGGACATAAACCATAACAAAACACAAGTGTCAAAAGTAAACAAAGTCAACATCACTAAAAAATCTAGAAGCGAGGGAAACTCGTGACAGACCCCAACCCCAAGAAAGTTATTCCTGGAGCACAAAAAAACACTTCCCCAGTCCTGGATCTCTGGGCAAAATGTCTTCACAGCCCCTTCAGGTCCCAATGCAGGCATTGTCCCTCAGATAGCATGCTCCTCAAGGACTTTGCAGGCTGAACTTGGTTGGAACATGAACATGGGTTGGGAGGCCATCTCTTCGACCTCAGGCAGGAACATGGCTTGGGAGGCCGTCTCTTCAAGCCTTCCACTGGAACTTGACGTGGAAGATCGCCACATTGACCTTTGGCTAGAGCTCGGCAGGTGAGACCACACCGTGGGTCTTAGGTTGGAGCTCTGGAGTCAAGGCCGCCACATTGACCTCTGGCTGGAGCTCTACAGGGAAGGCTACCTTGTGAATCTCAGTATGAACCCCAGCCACTGCTTCTGTTCAGGCTTGTAGTGAGCTAGGCTCAAAAAAATGTAATTGGTAGTAAAACAGAAAATACTCAGGGTAGCCAAAAAATCCATCGTAAGGCTCTGGGGGATCCATAAGCTTGATTGAATTGCGTCTATGTATGGTGTTCTTTATTACCTTGCCATGATTTCTCCTTCACTTTCCTGCTGCATACGTGGTGTAGGCAAATTATTCTGTCACGTAATGAAGGTTGAGACGGATGCAAGTGCAGGTAAGAGTTTCATTAGATGAGATATAAGCAAACAAATCCAAATCGTAAAACACAGGCGTGGTTAGAACAGGCAAATTGTCAGGTGATCTTCAAACAGGTCGGAAACAGGCAAGGCAAAGCACGAAACAAGAAACAAAAAACAAGATCAGTGGGGCTGTGGTGACTGAGTGGTTAAAGGTTCTGGGTTACTGATCAGAAGGTCAAGCTCAATCCCCAGCACTGCCAAGCTACCACTATTGGGCCCTTGGGCAAGGCCCTTAACCCTCAACTGCTCAGTTGTATTAATGAGATAAATGTAAGTCGCTCTGGATAAGGGCATCCACCAAATGCAGTAATGTAAATATTAACGTTAATCAGCTGCTGTAACGAGGGAATTTCCCCAGTGTGTGATCAATAAAGTTTATCATATCTGATCTTAATCAAAAACCATGAACCGAAACACGAGGAACAAAATACAAAGTGAAGCAAGGTGATACAAGGGGTTTAAATGACAAATGTACACTCACTACTTTACATTGTAGCAAAGTGTCATTTCTTCAGTGTTGTCAAATCTCAGTCCAACCTGGACTCGGTTTCCCAAGAAGCAATACACACCTCCCACACACGCATGTGCTCACCCTCCCCGAAGTTCTGATTACACACACCTGCAGGCACTCATGTCACTCTCTCACCACAGCTATTTAGTTACCTTGGATTCAATCTCACTTTAAAAAGTATACGTTCAGTAGACTTGTTCTCTGTCATTATTCCAAGCCGTTGTTTCCAGTGTTTATTCGCTTGGTTACCTTGACCTCTGCTTATGTTCCCGACCTCAAATTCTGCCTTGCCCCGTATTGTTTTGTTCACCCGATCACTTGACCTTTGCCCGTTTTACGACTACGAACTTTGAACACACCTTGGATTATATGAACTGATCCTGCCACCCGCATCTGCTTTCGTGCTCCCCATGGTACATGACAAGTGTTGTCACATGAAAAGATATAATCAAATATTTACAAAAATAGTGAGGGGTGTGCTCACTTTTGTGAGATACTGTATATTCATCTCTTTTAAATACACATAGTAGGTGCGACGGCTAGCTCATAAGGTCTTGTGACTCGTATCACTTACTGATTGTGTAATGCCATATCAATAACGTATAGCAAAAGCCGCTTTTAGGTTTAATCTTTGGTCTCATTTACAGTTTAATCCCTGAGGTTTATTGAGCATTAGCAACATGAAAACAATAAGAAAGAGAGATTATAATATATAATAACAAGAGAAAATCAGATCTCTTCTTACTATCTCCATAGTTTCCATAAAAACAGAATTTATTTCTTTTTCAAGTTGAAACAAAAGGCTCAGCGCTTTCTCCACACAACAGTAAACTCACATTTTAAAGGCAATAGTTTAAGGAAAAGTATACTAGGTGTCAAGTGTTTTGTGGGTTTTTTTTTTTTTTTGGAAATACGGCTATAAAAGTGTTTGGTTATGTGAAGAAAAATAAATTTTTTTCAATCATTTTGAATTGCATCTGGGCAAGAGATTTCAGACTATTTTAATAATTTAATTGTAACTCTTCAGCCAATGCTTGGAATATAAAATAATAAAAACTTTACACAGTAAATGAACCATTGAACATTACATTTCAGTTAGCAACTTTCCAGGTGGACGTGCGGTTTTAATTTCAGTTAAAACTCACTTTTTTCTCTCTCGTTCGTCACAAATGTTTGTCACAAAGTTGGGTTGATATCTAAACGATGAAATCACTGTTAAATATCCGGCGATATTAAAGAGAATTTTTTTTCTGGGATTAGTGAGTGAGAGGTGGAAGATTTGAACTAATGGCTTTCGTAGAGTTCAGGAGGTTAAAGCTGGTTTGAAAACAACAAGGGGGGTGATGAACTGGGCTTGAAACAACCTGAGGTAATCCAATCAATCGTTACAACAAAGCTAATTAAACACTAGAATATGAAATTATATCCTGAGTATAAGTAAACAGACCATAATAATCAGCTAGTCTTTAATGGTGTAAAAGAAGCCCAGAGAGATGCGAGTAAACTAACATCGCATTTAAACACTGACTTTATCCCCTGCTGGAAAATCTGTGCAAATGCACGTAGTCACTTCTTTCCATCTCGCTCGTCCTTGCAGACGAACTCTATGCATTTGCATATTTGTCATTTGAATGTCCTGCACATTTTGCAATTTTGTGATGCATGAAGCCTTTGAAATGAGATGTCCATCTGTCTAAAATCTGACTGAAGATATTCTTATTGTTCAACGTGTCATGATGGTGTGCATTCTGTTTAAACTCTAACGGTTAATACGCACGTGTTAAGACACATGATCTCGGCAGGTTTCAGCTGAATAAAAGCACAGTTCTGGACTGAATAAATAAACAAATAAACACTCTTACATTCATACACCACAGCATCTTGCCAACAATTGCAATTTATATTTATTACAGAATGACAATTTTTGTCTGTTTATTGTTACATTTAATGTCGTGAAAGTTAGTTTGTGTTCTTACTTACATCTTCGAAAAAAAAATGAACGTGGAATCAAATGGATGAAAACTATGCGTCGTCTTTTAATAAATGAATAATTGTCATCTCTGGTGAAGTGCTATGGTATACGAGGAATAAAACACTTGGGGAAGTGCTGCTATAAGAAAAATAACTTCTCCGCTTCATCACTCTATATGTAACTTTAACAGTAACATGCCCAGTGTTAACTATTGACTTTTTTCAAGCATTTATTACACCTGGTATGACTATGGTGTGACTAGCTGTTTGTGTTGTATGTGGTGTGAGGCGTTGGTTCAACATGGCCATTTTTTTACTTCCTGTTAGTGATTAAATCATCAAACCCCCTGAGCAGGTCTTACCAGCATACATCCACATCATCTGATATTGACATGGTGTGTTCAGACAAAGGCGTGTACCTGAGCTCTGGCCTCATGAACATCAGCGCAGTGTGTGTGTAGACACCAGGAGTTTATCAGCCTTCCAATCATCTTTAAGAAATGCATGTGACATGTGCAGTGCGATAACTTCCTCTTTGGCTTGTTTTGATTGCTCCATGGGCTTCTCGATGCAGGTATGTTTAAGTAACAACATCTGATGGCGTCAGATTTCTCCACATCTAACTGAAAGATTCCACACCAACCAACAGGGGTGAAGACATCTGCAAGATCACATTTTATATGCAAATCATTTTGTGGACTAGATTGTCTTTTCCCACCATCAAGTCAGCAGTTTGTGTGCAGGCTCATGACCTAAAATCTCAGTTTCAGTTCCTACAGGGTATAATAATCTGATCACCTGGGCAGGATGCTAGAATATGCAAATCAGCTCCCAAACGTCAACCCTTGCTTGAATTTCTGTTCTGTGTTTCATTGTCAGAGGTATCGCATGAAAGATCTTTGAAAAAAGATGATATTGCATCTTTTTTTGCTTAGCTTCCTCATAGTTACTGATCGTGTTTAAACACGAAGGAACGGGTGTGACATACTTTTGAAAAATGCAGTGAATTAGGAGTGATTCCCATTAGAATAACAGCTCCAGCTGGTTTAATGCATCATTTATATTCGCACATGCCACAATATCATAAGTTTAATAGAAGTTTATAAATGCTTTTATGACACGGTAACAGCGTGTGCAGTTTGCCCATGTTCATGTTGAACCGTCTGGATACAAGAGTTTTTATTAAAGGCCTGGAATCCATATACAGGTCAGCCGAAATTTTTTTGAAAATGTTCGGATAGGGTTCTGCCCTGAGAGATTATACAAAAGGTGTTCGATACACTTTCAAAATCTTCTCCAGGGTAGTTATAGTTACTGGTGTAGTCCGGTGTGGTTGCAGAGATTGGATTTCGCTCCCTTTTAGAGAACCATGTGATACCTTAATCTGTTTTTTATCCGATTTCAGCACTCTTTTATTTAAGGTTATTGTTCGCGACACTGTACGATATCCCAATAAAATCCTGGCCTCATTCCATTGCAGACTGTGTGATAGCACGTGTCTCTAGTACTGTCGTCAAACTGGAACGTTTTCATAGACTCGGATGTACTTGAAAAGAAATGTGGTTGGCAACAAAAAAAAAAACAGCCAAACAGTGTAATTGATATTAGATTACAAACAAGATCCGTTCAAAAGATTATGCATTATATCCATCCATCCATCCATCTTCTTCTTCAGAGACAAAGGGAACCTGGAGCCTATCCTAGGGAGCATAGGACACACACATGGCGGAAATCAAACCCTCAACCCTTAAAGTGTGAGACGAACGTGCTAACCACTAAGCCACTATGCGCCAACAGCCAAACCGTGTAAATGATATTAGATTACAAACGAGATCTGTTTGAGAGTTTGTGCCCCCTTTCTGAGTGTAGTATAGATATTCTTTACTAGATATTGTACCTCTCTCTCTTTCGCTCTCTCTTACACACGCACACACACACACTTGCATAATAATTAATCATAATTCCCCCACAGACCTCACTAAGATGTTGCAGGGGAGATCCAAAGTTAATTTTTAACTTCTTGTATTTATTTCTTTTTTTTTTTTACTTTCGCAGCTGACTGTGTAAGAGCGATCTCCAGCTGAACGGAACTTTGTGAAATTTTGCGAGAGAAATACATTGAGAAATGCACTGTATTTCATACAGAATTAGTTGTTTTTACACACACACACACACACACACACACACACACACACACACACGTACACGCACACAGCATTGAACTGAAAACCAATCACTCCCAGAAAGAGAGACAGAGAAACAGACATAAAGCTGTGAAACTCCCTCTCTGTATCTTACCTGGCCAGGTATGTCTGCAGCCTTGCCTTGTCACCCGTCTCACCATCCACATTGCCTACAACACAACACAACCCACTCCAACAGCATCTGACGATAAGCACACACAGCAACAAGAGAAAGAGAGAGACAGCGAGTGACCTGTGGGGTGGAGACTAACCTTTTACTTCCTCTTCTCTCTGATTCTCTCTCTCTCTCTCTCTCTCTCTCTCTCTCTCTCTCACACACACACACACACGCACCAAAATCTAACTTTTTTCAGTTCTTGTCTTCAAGTTTTTTTGACAATTTTAATCATTTATTAAACACATAATTGTGTAAATAACAGATAATTGTGTGAGCACTCAGTTCTTGTCCAAAACTGCACAAAGAAAGAGAAAAGGGGAAGAAAGTTTGTGAAGGAGTGAAGGAGGCGTGGCCTGTATGTGTCAAACTCAGCGAACGAGACGTGGTTTGTGTCTGTTAGTATAAGTGATGTCCAACATATCTAATTACCAAACTATATCTTCACTTATTAACTTTTTTTTTTTTTTTAACAATTTTACCATTATTTCTGGGTAGTTTTATAAAGATAAGTGTGTAAGCATATAAAGACCTTTTAATTTAGGTCTTTAGGTGTCAGACATTACAAAGTAAAAATAAAAAAGATATCTCTTTAAAAAACAAAGTATCCACATGTGAAAGGAAGACACCTTCAGGAATTCCAGTGTCAGATTTCCATAAATGGAAAAGAGATCTATTGATGTGAGAATTTACAGCTCTTAAAACAAGTACAGTTCTCAGTCCTGAGTTCTGAAAGTTCAGATTCTGAATATAATCCCATAAAAATGTATTGTAATCATGCATTCCTGGAGGACTACAGTGTTGTACGGTCAAGTGTCGTATCCTGTTTAAACACAGCTGAAGCATTTGGCATGTTCGCTCAGGTGTGCTGGAGCGAGGAAAATGACCCTCTGTGATTTACACCTTTGGTCGGAACAGTGTGTTTTTTATGGGATGTAGTTTGGAGGAACCACAGGACCTTAGTAACAGCTACAAACAGACATTCCCTCGCCAGCTCCCACCTGTTTCCATCCAGCTGGACGTTTACCAATAAAATGGTGTGTGTGTGTGATGATGTCATCCTTTAAAAAAAAAATGTCACATAAGTTTTGGTATCGCAAAAGAAATCTGCCCTTGAGCCATTTCAATACATAATTTTGTGTATATGGCAAATAGTGGATCTTTGGCACGTCCATCAAATCTTTCTAAAATGGAGAAAGTGTTGAGACAATTAGATGAGATTGATTAGCTTACTTTCATTTTAATTTCACAAATAGTTGTAGTTGTACGAAATATCAGAGAACGAGTTCAGAATGGAGCAGCTGCTTGTCTGATAGAGCTCCAAGCATGTTGAGGCCCATGGGCACGGGCAAGTGCGCGTACTCAGGTCGTTACCATGGGGTATAAACAACCCATTGTCACATGCTGTGGCGTGAGCTGCCAAATAATTTATATTTCTTACTAAAATACATATATATTAAATAATTATTTATTTGAAAACAAACCTTTTTGTCATAATTTTGGACTTTTTGTAGCAGAAAACAATACTCGGTCTGTCATTTGTTATTTATCTTTACATTCTTGTCGAAACATCTCAGTAATAAATATAACGGGATAGGAAGAACTGAACTGCCCTGCCCATGGGGGAGGAAGTGTTGGAGAGCTGTGCCCATCGCAGGTTGCCACCGACCAACGGTTCTCATCCTGTTCAAGCTGGCATCCTGCACTGAGTACAGTGTAGTGGGGGAAACTTTCAGGCAGGTGGAGTGAAAGGCACTGACAATTATAAGGGATGCCATTGCCCAGGGGGCCCCACTAAATCCATTAGTTACGCTATATAGGCTACTCTATGAATAATTATAGAATATATATATTATAGCTTCAACTTGTATGCCTGAGAGCTTAAAGAAGATCACATAAACATGCAATTTCATGAAAGAATCTTCCCAAATATCAAATCTCGCCTCCCTAAAAATGGTTTAGTCCCCAGCAAGAATGTTGTTTGTGGACTACAGCTCAGCATTTAACACCATAGTGCCCTCTAAACTTGACATTAAGCTCCAGGCTCTGGGCTTGGGTTTTGGACTTTCTCTCATGTAGATGCCAGGTGGTCAAAATGGGCAGCAACATCTCCTCACCACTGACCCTTAATACCAGAGCTCCACAGGGCTGTGTTCTCAGCATACACCTGTACTCCTTGTACATACATGACTGTGTGGCCACCCACAGCTCCAACGTCATTGTCAAATTTGCTGACGACACGACAGTCACAAGAGTTATGTTCACACACTGGTGCCAGGAGAACAACCTCTCTCTAAAAATCAACAAGACCAAGGAGGTTGTGATGGACTTTAAGAGGCAGGATAGAAAGCACAGCCCCATCACAATCAACAGAGTACCAGTAGAAAGGGTCAGCAGCTTCGAGTTTCTTGGGGTCCACGTTTCCAATGACTTAACATGGTTTGTCCATACAGAGACCGTAGTAAACGCCAGTGGCTTTTCTTCCTTAGACACCTGAAGAAGTTTGGGATGAGCGCCAGCATCCTCAGATAGTTCTACACATGCACTGTGGAGAGGATCCTGTCTGGCTGCATCAACGTCTCGTATAGGAACAGTACGGCCCTCAACTGAAATGAGCTGCAGAGAGTAGTACATACATCTCAGCACATAGTTGGAGGCAAGGGCGTAACCATGGTATAGACATTGGGGAGGTCCAACGAACTCAGCGGGAGGATACACGTGAATGTACCATTAATGGTCAAAAACTGGAACCGACGTTAGTCTAGCCTACTTCCATCCATCCATCCATCCATCTTCAACCGCTTATTCCTGCTTCAGGGTCGCGGGGAACCTGGAGCCTATCCCAGGAAGCATCAGGCACAAGCCTGGGTACACCCTGGACAGGGTGCCAGTCCATCGCAGGGCACCTAGCCTACTTCGTGGGTGTATAAATATAAAAAGTTAATTGACATTTGAAAGGTTTCTCTTTTATAATCTTATATTTTATATGATGTACCCTCTTATATTATGAACTGCTCTCAAATATATGATGAATGTAATCATTTAGTTACCTCTTTGAATAAGCTGATCAACTGCTATCCTTGATTATATTATTATGTACTTCTGTGTCAACATGACATGAGACTTATTTTGTATCATAACTATGTGCTGTGTGTTTTGACTAAATCTGTCTGAGACTTGGACCAACAGAAACCATCCACGCAGTGCTGTTATCAATGTGTACAATGTGTATAAATTCTTCTGCTTTGAATGAATAAACGGGAAGTCTCTTTTGAACACACTCATATCTGTCAGTTTGTGTGTGTTCATTTCAGACTCTCCAGGCGCCTGACTGCAGCAAACCACACAGACTTTCTAGATCATAGCAACATAGAACTAAAAGTAACTAAATGTTACTAGAGGTTAATGTTCAAACAGGTTGGAAGGCATGACGGAGATCACAAAGGCATAAATGGTAGAGTCCTGTGGGGTGAAATCTAACAACATTCTTAATAACAAACCAAGCCATGGTATGATGCCTTCTATACTAAGGGAATGTAGTGGGGTGTGAGTCGTGGTTAAAATTTCACCCTTATTAACTACGTGGCCAATGGGCTCTCTCCCTACAATAGTATTTAAATGTTCGTTAAGGGCTTTCAGAATGCGTCCTGGTCAAAAACCTGCTTCTTCCTTTTGTTGCTACGGACTACAGAGTGTGACGTTGGGCTACTGAGACTGTGTGTGGGTGTGATGTGCTGCTCATAATCAGTGTGCTGTGCCATCAAGGCTCCCAACTGTGTAGCGTGGTAATTTAACATGTGTGTGTGTGTGTGTACGTATGTATGTATATGTGTGTGTGTGGTGTGTGTGTGTGTGTGTGTGTGTGTATATATATATATAATTACTCCAATCACACCATACCAACATCAGTATATACCACAGTCTCCCAGATGCCATGAATGCAAATGCAATGTAATTGTAGTGACAATAAAAGTGAGTTGATACATTAAAGAAATCATTGAATAAATCAGTATGTTAAGTTTAAGCAATCAAAAGTAAGATCCATTCATGTGTAACCAATATAGATCACAAGAAAGAATGTGTAACTCAGTGAGGCTCAAGTCAGTGAGATCATGGAGCGCCCATTCTTCAATTAGAGTTATCTTTTTCTTCAAAGTTGCTCTGTCATTTCTCAGAAAAGTCACCCTCTGTACCTGCATAAAGACAGAGTTTCTCTTTAAGTCTGCATCTTCAGTTTGATGATAATGATTTCTTAAGATGTATTGTTGAAATCCATGATGTAAGTCTGTAAAATAAAAAACTTCTTTAAAAAATAAGCTGACTGAACTTGCACCCCATTTACAGATATGAAGAAAGAAACATAATTTGGCGAGTCATCAGAAATGAGATAAAAAGAAAAAAATGGGGAAACCCCATTGCCTAATGAGATCAGT